GCAAATTGTGCAGTCAAGACTAGTGTTTTTTAGGATGTTGCAATTCTTGAACCTCAGTGTATGTGTTAGAAAGTTTTCAAAAGGACCTGATATTAAATCGTTCATTCCAGTTTAAATATCGAGTAGGTCTGTGCATGATTTTCTACAAGGTAGTTTTAACTTATGCGGGTTCCATTCTATATTATCACTCTTTCTTAGCAAATGTTATGAACGTTCATTAACTGTTAAATATTGCTGTTCATGTTTTGTCCTCTGTTATTTAAAAAAAGTGCTGTAATTGTGAATTGACACTGATCCTGACAAGTCAAGTCTATCATGTGTGTCTAATTCTTCTCCTTGTGAGTTTAAGCGTCTCTTTCTATTCTAATAACTGTACAGTATATGGCTTGTTTATTTACATCACCAATACTGCAAGTATTAACTTCTTCTCATAGAAGAAACCTGTGACTGTTTTGTATAACAATATATAGTAAAATAAATGTAACCAGGTTCCGATTCATTGGTCGTTGCTTTGTTTCATTCTTCACCCTCCAGAAAATAATATTAATAATATTAATAATAATCCTTGCATTTGATATAGCACATCACATCGTTGAGACGTCTCAAAGCTCTTCACAGAATATGCTGCAAACTGGATTGACTGTGTATTTTGTGGGTAAAACGCAGCAACCAATTGCATGCAGCAGTGTCCCACAAACAGTCATGGCTTAAGTGACCAAATTATTAATTTTTATTTATTGTGTATATATATATATATAAAAAAGCTTTTGGAAGAATCAAGTGGTTTTCTATAGCTCCAATTAAACAATTGATTTATTTTTAGTCAGGCGGCACTTCTCAAGACCTCCCTCTTCAACTGTGCCTTTAGCCATCTTGGCCCATTTGAACCCATCTCCCAGCTCAGAGCCAAATGCTTGACTGTCTAGAGCCTTGGGACATCCTCCCAATGTGAAAGGCGCTATACAAATATAATTGTCGTTAAAAAAAAATTTAATGAGTGGGTTAATTATTTTTTCTCTTGCAACTGTTTGTGTGAGTGTATGTGTCTGTGTTTGTTTTGAGCCAGGAATACAGAGAATTACTCAGCAACGGTATATATTTACTGAAATACTGACAGGTCTTGTCCTTTCTGCCCACTCTGTGGCATCAGTATTACATCACCACGATTGACGTCATGCTGATGATATTTTGTGAGAATGACTATTTGTCTCAAATTGTATTTCTGTTCTCACATGAATTGTGTTACCCACTGACGAGTTGCGTGTTTCTCTACACCAGATGTTCTACCAATTTGTAATGCATACAAGCTGTGAGATCTCCCTGTAAAAGTGTCACCCCTGTGAAGATCACATGCTACAGTACCAATTCTGTTTTAAATGAGGCATTCTGATTCAGGAAGATGTATCTGTCCACTGGGACCAACACATCATCCTTGCCAACACCAAAACAAACTGAAAGCAAGCGAATTAAATAAAATGCAAGCAAATAAATAAAAATGTAACATTATTAAAGATTAGCATGATCCAGAGCAGTCAACCCATGGCCCGCGGCCCGGAAGTGGTCCACCAAGCATTCGGAACGGTCCAGATGAGTCTGTTCCAAATCAATGCCGTGTTTGCAGTGGCTACCGAGCAGCAAATGCCTATGACGTGACCATAAATCAAGAAGTAATGAATCAAGAAACATTGTTTGGTTGGCCGACTAAAAAGGTTGGTCTAGACTAGAGTATGGTGCAAGAGGGTAAAGTCAGGGTGGGGGAGGGGTGAGATATTATTTTGACTCTTCAGTGTATTGCTTGTAATACTGTGCTTGTCATGTGGCTAGCATGATTTATAAAGCTTAAGTGAGTGTGACATAGACACAGAGATTACTTTGTTACTTAGAAAAGCTTGCTATCATTTACATACTGTAAAGAAGTTTATTCCAAATCGAGATCTGTTTCTCGATCGGTCAGAAGCCAGCTGGCTGTGCGTTGATACTCCCTTGCTCCAGATATTTTGGTGGGTCTAGACTTTACTTTTTATTGGTAGTGCTCCAGAGTGAGACTTGAGACTTCAACAGTAAGTGCCAAATGTCAGGACGGTTTATTACATTATTTATGTACCTTGGGACTAAATGTACAAGATTGAAATTGCCAGATTTCAATTTACTTGTGACTTTTAATGGTCTTCAGAGAGTCGAAATCAAATCTCTCATTTCAAAGTTGGAGGGTGATGGCATTTTTAGCTTGTTGGGTAAGTTGGATGCGATTTCTCCATAGCTCTGAATACAAGGAACAAACGGTAAGACAGTTTTGGCCAGCAATATTTTGCTTTATTCAAAGTTGGACATGTTGATACAGTATAATCTGCCTTTCAGTATAATTATTTATTTCCCTAATAATTCTATCAAAACTTTCAGTCAGTGATGTTAATAATCCAATAAACATCACAGAGATATCATATCCACTCTAGGAAGCAAAGTAATACAGAGTCAAAATGTATCCGACAATAAGAGTTTCAGTTATTTCAAGTTAATCTAATTATAAACCCAGTGGTGCTGGATTTTGGTCGCTTGAACCCATGCTGCAGAAAAAGCCCTTTTATGATGGATTGTTTTGACTCTGAACCTAGAATGGTGTAAATATGGAGTTGGACTATTACATGTTCCGTCTATAATAGATTCCCACGAGTCAGTAGTAAAAGGGCATACAGTTAAAGTAGTCCCAAAAAGAATTGAAGGGGAGGTGAGAAAGAATTCCTTTACTCAGTGAGCGACTGGAGTATGACTCTGCCACAAACCGTTGTTAAAGCATTCTGTACCTTATCTTAATGGCACCCAGTAAAAGTGTGCTACATCCCCTAGCTTTGGAATGGAACATACAACCATGGTAGAAGGTGGCATGCGATAAGTACTGGGATGCAAGACAGAAAGTCATGAAATGTGTTGCATTCTTAAATGAGCATGTCCCAGATATGTTTCACTGAGAGTTATACTGGCCAGTGTGATGGAGGGCCTAATTCACTGCTACATCTATGATAACTCTTGCCTTGACACAGTGAGTTATTTTATATGGGGCGTCTCTTGATGTAACAGATTCCAGAGGATCTGATGATTGAACTGCTCAATTTCGCCCTTGTGGATTTACAGACTTATAACCTGCTGCCAAACCATCTGTTGTTCTGAGTTTCCTAATAGAATATTGGGAACTTGACAACAACTTGAAGCATTCAACAAAGTCAAAGGAACTAACTGTTTCTAACTCTGATACTGTATTTGATGCGGTGACTGGAAATTATATTTGCTGGAGTAGATCGTCACGAGAGCATATCTCAATAAGGTGAGATCACAGAGTGGCTTCAACCAGTGCTCTCTGGTTACAAATGTCATGTTCTTCAAGCAGCCTTATGAACCATCGGGGTATGTTGTCAGCCGGCTGATCACAGGGACATCGCCCCCATTAGGACCCCCATACCAGAGGCCATGGGAGCTTTCCATCCCCAGGCCTGTTAGTGTCAGGTTTTCCCTTTGCCAGAGACAAAGAGAGAGAGAGAGAGAGCTGTTTCTGACTCATTCAAATCATGTATCTAGTCGGTCACGGGGAAGTCTTAATTCAAAAGCTTCAAGTATTACAATAAAGTACAATTTACATTTATACAGCGCCTTTCACATCAGGAGGACATCTCAAACACCTTCACAGTGCTGGATGGGCACCCAAATTGAGTATTGGGTGTTAAATAGAAAAGTTTTACTTTTAATAATAATCTTTGCATTTGATCCTTTTCACGGATTTGAAATGTTCAAAGAGCTTCACAGAATATACTGTAAAATATTCTGTATATTTTGGGGGGCAACCCATAGTATTCATGATCTTTTTCCGTAAATAAATACTGCCCTGTAAATAATTTTATTTTGTAAAGATCTGATCACCTACCTAAAAATTAAAACACTTCCAATAGTATCAAAAAGGTTCCTTATTGTCGGGCTGTTTCTTTTATCAATTTTCTCCCCATGTTCTTTCCTGATGGCACTGAATTCTCCAGGGCTACAGTTTATGGGCACCAGAGAAAGGTGCTTCTCTCCCGGTGTCTTGGCTAACAATCCCTCCCCTCCCCTCCGCCCCCACCCCAAAATAAAACTGGTCAGTCACTTCACGGCTGATTGTGGGACATGGTTGTGTGTAAATTGGCTATTGCGTTTGCCTATAAAATATATCCAGTGAAGCGCTTTGAGGCATCTTCCTGAAGTGAAAGATTATTATTACAGTGGAGTCCTGTAGCTCAGTGGTTAGAGCACTCGCTTTGCAAGCGAGAGACCTGAGTTCAATTCCAGGCAGAGGGCGAAACCTCGGGCAAGTTTCCTTACTCCACACAGAGCCTAATAATAATCCCTCCAAAACCAAAACCAATAATAAATTGGTCATTTTCAATCTACGACTGTTTGTAGGACATTGCTGTGCGCAATTGGCTGCCGCGTTCGCCCACAAATATACAGTCAATTCACTTTACAGTGTGTTCTGTGAAGCTCTTTGGCACGTCCTCCCGACGTGAAAAGCGCTATATCAAATGCAAGGATTATTATTATTATTATTACTCTCCTGAACTTTGCTGAAACAATTATTTATCCATTTGTGAGCTAAGACAGTGGGTGTTGCCTGGTTATTCAACTGTGTGGGGAGTGGGCCAGTCGCCATGCCTGAGCTTGTCTTTACCCGGCTCACCGTCTGCCAAGTGAATGGGTCATCGGGTTGGTACACGTGTTAAATGTAACTATTCTGTCTCCTGTAAAAACAGGTTTATTCCAGATGTTGCCACACCATAAGCCTGGATCAAGGATCCACAGATGCTTTCTATTTTCTATTTTACAACAGTCCATAAAATGTCTGCAGCTGTTTAATGCTGTGTGATTGGAGTACAAAGTAGGCCTGGTGCAATTGCTTTCAGATCTCTGTAACTTTATTTTTGTTATACACTGTATCTAGAGTCCAATTATTAATGGAAGCAAAAAATCCAAACACTGAATTGCAGCAGTCAAAGAGAGAGATTTATAATGAACACAATGTACAGGCAAAGGCATGCGAGTTAAACAGGAGATCCTAACCTCCAGACATAGGATTACAGCAGCAAAAAAAAAGGGCCTGTTTCAAGCAATGAATGGAATTATTAGCAGAAAGGGATCACTGGTAGAGTTGATGGCAGTAGGAACCTGGATTAGTTCGTTTTGCAGAAGGGAACCAAACCAAACACAAAAAAGATAACTTTCCAAATCAAAAATAGAATAATTTTGTTGAAAGAATGCTCGAGGACTGCTACGGTATATCTAACTGATGAAATGGGAGTGGGGGGGGGGGGGACGAGAGAGAGGGAAAGATTCTTAGCTGGATAAAAGCAATGTGCACTGAGACGTACAAGATGCGATTGCATCTTTTACATACGATCAACATGGCTCCTTTCCTGTGGGAGTAAGAGATGATGGGGAGCAATGAGGGGGGATGAAAGGAAGGGACATTTAACAGTGTTGACAGCGAAGGTGGGGGTGCAGAAAACTGCAAGCCAAGCCATGAAGGTATAGACTGTGGAGACGGCAGTCTCGATCAGACCACAGCGCGGGTCTAGATTTTTTTTAAGCTCATAAGTTTTTTTTTCAAAAAACAGTATTCTGTCCACATGAATGTTTAAAGTTGCACTCTGTAAATGTACTAACATGTCTTTTGAAGATATTTCAATGCCTTACACAAAACTAATGCATCCAATGGCCCCGACAAGTTACATTCACTCAACAGCGGTAGCTATAGTAACGGACCCATGCCAATAAAACAAACTCCTTTTTTTTAAGTTGCTCGGCACAATATTTACTTTCATGCTTGACAAATGTGGATGGCTATGTTTACCTTAGACATTATTCCTACGCATTTGGCTGTCGGCGTTACATAACCTCACAGTTGACCTCATCTTAAAATGGAAAAATGCGCAACAGTAAAACATAAAATGCAAATATTGAAACACATTGATAACATCTGCTACGATTTTCTTGGTTTCTCGTCGCTTTGTTCCTTCTGGCGCCAATAAAGGTCCATGAATTTGGTAATCTCATCACAGTGCCGATGAAAATTCAGCCGGCGATCACTGCGGTCTGAAGAAATCTACGGGAGGAATTAATATTGTAATTGAAGTGTATGAGATCCAACGACAACAACTTGCATTTAGAAAGTGTTGTTCACGCCGGGTAGTGTCCCGCAGCACGTATGTTCCATTACTCTACACGCCTCAACACTCCTCCAATTTCTAGATCTGCAACAATAACAAATTTTGCACAGTTCCTTTCATGTCGGGAGGACGTCCCAAGCTGCTGGCTGGACAGCCAGGGATTTGGACCCGAGCTGGGGGTTGGGATCTGGAGGGGTGGTGGACAAGGAGGGTAGGGGTAGGAGAGTGGCCGAATGCATGGTCGAAGAGGGGGGTCTTGAGAAGTGCTTTAAAGGACACAATGGCGGGAGCAAAGTGAAGGGACTGTGAGATGGAGTTCTAAAGGGTGGGGGCAGAGAGGCTGAAAGCCCGACCACCGATAGTGGTATGGGCTAGAGTCTGGGTACCACAGGTTGATATGCCTTTAGCAGGCCACAGAGGCAGGAAGGAGCCAGGCCTTGGAGCGCTTTGAAAGAGAAGCATTTGTCTCTCCAGCTGTGCACTGCCTTGTTGCATGGTTGCACTGGCATAATTCCAGGGTTTGAGCTGCAGATCGGTTGGCTTGGTCTTGTTCTCTGTTGAAAAAAACGGACTACTTAGGGGAGCGCAATAGAGAGTTTAATTGGATGAAGTGCCAGTGGTAATGCAGCAAAAGAGTGCTTCTTATGGAGCCTCTGCTCCCAAAACTTCACCTGTGAAGTCTTCAATTTGCTTACCTGTTGCTCTTTTGTGGTCTCAATCTCCCCCCACGCCCCCAACCAGGGTCTATTTTGAGACTCAAAAGCTCCTTACCGAAGGAATATTTTTATATATTTTGCCAATTATACAATACAAAATTACATTTGTATAGCACCTTTCATGCTGGGAGGACGTCCCATTATCTTAAATTATATCTTTGAATTATCTTAAAACTGTGTCCTGTGGTTACATACAGAACATTAATAATATTAATAATATTCCTAAATATTGCATCTCAAACTGCCCTTACCAGTGGAGTTGACATCCAACCAATCTCCTGGCTTTCTGTTTGTGGGTAAGTATATTTCTTCCTTGGCTCCAAAAGCTTCTGCCCAATCAACTTGATGAATTGTTCTAATCAAAATCAGAAACCAGTCTCATTTATTTATGACAAAATATTGGGTGTAACACAGTAAGACCCTCTTGAAATTAGGGATGTTATTCCCAAAATAAATATAAGGATACATACTGTCTTCTTTCCCATCTAGGTCACTGAATCTTGAATTTGGTTTTCCTGCCAAGGAATGAACTGTAGGAATAGAATACAATAGAATCATAGAATATTACAGCACAGAAAGAGGCCATTCAGCCCATCATGCCTGCACCAGCTCTTTGGAAGAGCTACCCAATCAATCCCTCCCACTCCCCCGCACTTTCCTTATATCCTTGCAATTTTTTTCCTCTTCCAAGAAGATAAATATAGGACCTATTTTTGACAAGTATTCTGTACAAATAAAAAGAAAGTATACAATAATATAACACAGTTTATAGTTTCTCACGTCTAGAGAATGTCTCAAAGCACTTCACGCTGCTGGCCTGACAGGCTATGGAAGGATACAGGGAAATCGGACATTTGTGATCAGAGTAGATAGCCACAGTGGAGAAACTAGCATAAGCAAAGATTCCATCAGCCGAATGACCTCCTTCACTGAATCTTAAATAATACAATCCCACTCGCTCCCAAAACAAATTATTCCAAATTATTCAAATTAAAGCACCAAGCATGAAAATCAAATTGCATGTCCCTTTAAGAGAATTTCAGATTGGAACCAGTGTGACTTTCTCCTGTCTGTAACAATGGCTCCACTTGTTACTGTCATTTTACTCTATATCCCCTGTCATCACTGTGAGCTGCACAGGAGTAAACTACGTTGAGTGAGATGCCTTTCCCCAAACATTCTACTCTCTCTTATCCATTTGACCTGTTAACCTGAAAGGTTAAGTTTCTTTCGAACAAGTTGACTAAAATATCAACATGATCTAGGTTCAGGCTTTCACACTGTGTTGGAGACAATTCCACCCCATCACCGGCCATTCCTACCAGTGAAGCCTCCTTTCGACTATTTCAAGTCTCATACATTCTGTGTCTCATCTCTGGGAAAGGTGACATCTCAACACCGTCGATCACAATAAGGTAATGGATGGCAAATCAGCTCACAGGCACAGAAATTGAAGCCTTAGGGGATCGTATAGGAAGTGGACTGGTGTCACGTAGCTCAGTGGTGAGCACACCCGCCTCGCAAGAGAGAGGACCAGGGTTTGCTTCCTTGGTGGGGTGAAATGTTAGACAAGTTTCCTTACTCCACACACTCTGTTTACCCAGCGGTACATAGGAACCCGGTTGACAGTCGATCGTTTTCCGGGGGTAATAATCCCGCCAAAAGAAAAAAAAAGTGGTCCCTCAACCCACGACTGTTTGTGGGGACGTTGCTGTGCGCAATCGGCCGCCCCGTTTCGCCCACAAAATGCAGGCAATTCACTTTACGGCACATCCTGCGAAGCGCTTTGAGACGTCGCAATGGTGTGTGATGAGGCGCTATATCAAATGCAAGACATTATTATTACAAACTCAGGAAGATAGGGATGGGGATGGGGGGTGGGGGAGGGGGGGGGGGGAGAGGAGGGGGGGAGAGAGGAGGGGGGGGAGGGGGAGGAGGGGGGGAGAGGGGGAGGAGAGGGGGAGAGGAGGAGGAGGAGGGGGGGGGAGAGGAGGGGGAGAAAGGAGGGGGGGGGGAGAGGAGGGGGAGAGGGGAGAGAGGAGGGGGGTGGGGAGAGGGGGGAGAGGAGGGGGGGAGGAGGGAGTTCAGGTTTACACCTTAACATCACACCATCCCAGGCTTCTAAGAGCCCGGTGTCTCGCACTCGCCCCGCGGGTCGCTGCCGCCTTACACTTGGTGTGAGGGTTGATGTTGAAGCTCGTGTAGAGCTTCTGAGTGCGAAGCTCCTTTTTGATGGCTTCAACCCTGATGGCGTTCTGATGGACCATATCTACGGGTTCCTTCTCCACCGGAGGTTTGCCCGTCATCTCGATTCCCCCCTGTTTGTTTGGGGGTGTGGGTGGGGTGGGGTGGGGTGGGGTGAGGTGGGTGATGTGGTTGGAGGGGAGAAAGTCGGGATGGCCTCTCTCTCGCCCTTTACCGGGAGAGTATCCACTGGAGAGATTGTTACTCGGTTACCAGGCAACCAACACGACGCGTGGACCCAAACACATGTAACTGATCTGTGGTGTGTGTGTTGTGTGTTGTATGTGTGTTGTGTGGGTTCAGCCTCTGTAACACTGAGCATCGCCCCTCCACCGGACCCCCCCCCCCCCCCCCCCCCCCCCCCCCCCTTTTCTGTGCATCCCGAAGGGTCGATTCCCCCTTTTCTTTTCTTTTCTTTTCTTTTTTTTCACGTGGCAGGAAAAAAAACACACACGCCGAGAAAAAAACACGCAGCTTTTTTTGTGTGTGTCGTCGGTCGTCCCCAAAAAAAGAAATAAAGATCGAATCACCCCCCCCAAAAAAATCCCAAATCTTGAATAAAGGTAATCTTCCGAAGAGGTTTTTGGACGCGCGCGGAAAAACGGGCGGAGGTTTTCTGCCACTACGGGGCCGTGGATTTCGCAGCTTCGACGCGTCCAACTTTTCTTTTTTTTTTTTTGCCTCTCGCGGGACATTCAGGGGATTCCAGTGGTGCGTTTGTATTGAGCGGAAAACTCACTCGCGCTCCCACTTTTCCGTGTGACATTGAGCACAAAGAGATGCAGTGGGTTAAGGTGTTATTATAATAATAATAGTAATAATATAATAATAATAATAATAATAATCCTTGCATTTGATATAGCGCTTTTCACGTCGGGAGGACGTCCCAAAGCGCTTCACAGAACACACTGTAAAGTGAATTGACTGTATATTTGTGGGCGAACCCGGGGGCCAATTGCGCACAGCAATGTCCCACAAAGCGTCGTGGATTGAAAATGACCAATTTATTATTGTTTTTGGTTTTGGAGGGATTATTATTAGGCTCTGTGTGGAGTAAGGAAACTTGCCCAAGGTTTCGCCCTCTGCCTGGAATTGAACTCAGGTCATTGCATTGCATTCATCGCACGCTGATTTGATAGTAATAAGTAATCTTTGCATTTGATATAGCGCCTTATCACGTCTCACAGCGCTTTGCAAGGTATACTGTAAAGTGTCGTGACTATACATTGTGGGCAAAAGGCGGCAGCCAATTAATTGCACAGTCATGGATTGAGTGACCAAATTATTATTATTATTATTATTATTTCAATATGTCACAAAAAGCAATTCTGCATTACAAACGAGAGGCATTTCTTTTGCCACCCGCCCCCACCAACCTCTCCTGTTCTTCACTTGTGTTTATAGCACTTGCGTTGCATGTGGTGTGACCTCGTATTGCTGAAAACTATCTTGTTTCGCACAAGTCTTACTATTTAACTTTTTATAGAGTTCAAATGAGGTGCATGACTTTTAAAAACAATAACTATAATCCTTGATATGATATAGCGCCTTATCCCATCTTCAAGACGTCTCAGAGACGTTACCCTGTGTGAAGGGCGCTATGTAAGAAATGCAAGTTGTTATTGTCTCAAAGTGCCTCACATAATATACCGTAAAGTGGAGTAACTGTGCATTTTGTGAGGAAATGAATTTGGATAAGGGCGACCAGGGCATTGGGAGAAAATAGTACCATGGAATCTTGGCAAGCCTTGGTTTAACGTCTCATCTGCAGTAGGGTGCTGGAGTTTCAGTCAGGACTCAGAAACTCTCAACATGGGGCTTAAACACAGACCCTTCTGATTTACAGCCAAAAACACCAGTCAAAAAGACTTTGCCGCAAAGGTGCAGGTTGGCTCAGGCGTGGGAAACAGGACTGGGCACAAATTGGGGTGGTGTCAATCTGGCTCAGTCAGTAGCACCCAGTCTCTCGCCTCCGGGGCAGAAGGTTGCGGGTTTAAGCCCCATGTTGATACTGGGAAGAGCTCTGGGAGAGAGAGAGAGAGAGAGAGAGAGTGACCACAAGTGACACGCTATAGTGTCAGTCAAGTGTCAAACGGAAGGAGAGAGATTAACAGCAAAGGATTTGGAGGTCACACACAGTGATACTCAAATGCAGGGATCACACAACGTGCCAACAAGTGAGCTGGTGGTAGTTGTGGAGAGCAGCGCGTGTCAAACAAGTCAATGAGTGAAAATTTCCAGGCCGGGATGGAGAGAGGGCTGCGTCTGGGAATTGTGTGTGTGTTGGGGGTGGGGTGTGGGGGGGGGGAGGGACGTTACTGTGTGTCACTGTTCAAAACACACACAATAGGGGACGGTGAGGTATCTTTAACGTAAATTTTACTATTTCAAACGTGATAAAGGTGCCACTGTTACAGCTTTACCGTTCAAACCCATTAGAAGTCACCTCTGAGTCCCGAAGCTGCGAGTTCAAGTCTGTCTTCCTGGCTCTTCATTCCTCATTTCCCACTCCTCCCTCACTCGTATTCCTGATTTTGCTTGCCTACAAAAAACACAGTCACTACACTTCACAGAGAATCCTGTGAAACGTTTTGAGATGTCCTCCCGACGTGAGAAACGCGATATATATCAAATTAACGGATTATTATTACATTATTATTCATTTTCCATTCCTCGCTCTTTGTTCCTACGTTCATCTCATGGCTGTTTGTGTGGACGTTGACTGCTGTCACAGTCACTTCACAGTAAATGCTGTGATGCTCCTTGAGGCAGTCTCCTGACGTGAAGGGCACTGCATCAAATGCGAGGATTATTATTATTACTCATCCTTCACTCTTCATTTTTCAACTCATCCCTCACTCTTCAGCCTTTATTTCCAACCCTGATTCCACACTCTTCACCTACTTATCCCTCACCCCATTTCCCATCCTAAATCTTCAGCCCTCAATTCCCATCCTCACACCATTAATCTTCATCCACTTCCCTTCCTCACCCATCACTCCTCAACCCTCACTCTTCAGTTCCTAACCGTGTCCCTCAATCTTCACTCTCCAACTCCTCATCCCTCACTCTTCACTCCATTTCCAATCCTCAACCTTTAACCTTCACTCCTGGTCCTTGATTTTCTAACCTCACTGCCTCGCTCTTCAATTCCTCACTCTTCAGTTCTCAACCTCATCCCTCAATCTTTATTCCATTTCCCATCCTCACTCCCTCATTCTTCATCTATTTTTCATCCTCATTCTTCAATCTTCACTTTTCAATTCCTCACTTTTCCTTTCCCAACCGCATCACTTGCTCTTCAACTCCTCATCGCCCAATTTTCACTCCATTTCCGATTTTCATCCTGAATCTTCACCCCTCATCCTTCACTTCCCATCCTCATTCCCTCATTTTTCATCCAACTTCCCTTCCTCATCCCTCAATCTTCACTCCTCATCCTTCATTTACCAACCTCATCCCTTGCTCTTCAACTCCTCATCTCTCGCTCTTCAACGCATCCTTTAAGTCCCATCCTCACTTCTTCAATCATCACCATCTCATCTTTCACTCCATCTTCCCATCTTCCTCCTCATCTTCCCCCTTCAATTTCGTTTCACCCCTCACTCTTTATCTCCCACCCCCTCGCTGTTTATCTCCCATCCCCTCACTTTTCATCTCCCACTCCTTCACTGCTTAACTCCTCATCCCTGGCTCTTCAACTTCTTGTCCTTGATATTCCATCCTCACTGGTCTCAACGTTCACTCCATCTCCCTATTCTCATCATCATCTTCCCCCTTCAATCTTCACTCCTCACTCATTCACTCACTCTTCAACTCCTCTTCACTCCAGCCTCCCATCCTCCTCCTCCTCATCCCTTCAATCTTCACTTCACAACTCACTCTTCATCTCCCATCCCTATCTCACTCACTCACTCACTCACTCACTCACTCACTCACTCACTCACTCACTCACTCACTCACTCACTCACTCACTCACTCACTCACTCACTCACTCACTCACTCACTCACTCACTCACTCCTCACTCACTCACTCACTCACTCAACTCACTCACTCACTCCACTCACTCACTCACTCACTCACTCACTCACTCACTCACTCACTCACTCACTCACTCACTCACTCACTCACATACTCACTCACTCACTCCCTCACTCACTCACTCACTCACTCACTCACTCACTCACTCACTCAAACTCCTCTTCACTCCAGCCCGCTCGCACCACCTGCACAACCAGCTCATTCCTTCAATCTTCATCATCTCAACTTTCACTCCACCTAACCATCCTCCTCCTCATCGTCCCATTTCAAGCTTCACCCCCTTTCTTCAACTCTCACCCTCATGTGGGCGGGGCTGTGTAGTGTGGGCGGGGCTGTGCGGGGAAGGCGGGGCTGTGCGAGAGGCGGGGCTGTGTGAGGAGGGCGGGGCTGTGTGAGGGCGGGGCTGTTGGGGCGGGGCTGTGTGTGGAGGGCGGGGCTGTGCGGGGGCGGGGCTGTGTGAGGAGGGCGGGGCTGTATGTGGAGGGCGGGGCTATGCGGGGGCGGGGCTGTGTGAGGAGGGCGGGGCTATGTGAGGAGGGCGGGGCTGTGTGAGGAGGGCGGGGCTGTGTGGGGGCGGGGCTGTGTGTGGAGGGCGGGGCTGTGTGAGGAGGGCGGGGCTGTGCGGGGGCGGGGCTGTGCGGGGGCGGGGCTGTGTGAGGAGGAGGCGGGGCTGTGTGCGGAGGGCGGGGCTGTGAGGAGGGCGGGGCTGTGTGTGGAGGGCGGGGCTGTGCGGGGGCGGGGCTGTGCGGGGGCGGGGCTGTGCGGGGGCGGGGCTGTGCGGGGGCGGGGCTGTGTGGGGGCGGGCTGTGTGAGGAGGGCGGGGCTGTGTGTGGAGGGCGGGGGGGGGGGGGGCGGGGCTATGCGGGGCGGGGCTGTGTGAGGAGGCGGGGCTGTGTGGGGGCGGGGCTGTGTGCGGAGGAGGCGGGGCTGTGTGCGGAGGAGGCGGGGCTGTGCGGGGGCGGGGCTGTGTGGGAGGGGGGGCTGTGCGGCGGGGCTGTGCGGGGGCGGGCTGTGTGGGGAGGGCGGGGCTGTGTGTGGAGGGCGGGGCTGTGCGGGGGCGGGGCTGTGTGAGGAGGGCGGGGTTGTGCGGGGGCGGGGCTGTGTGTGGAGGGCGGGGCTGTGTGAGGAGGGCGGGGCTGTGCGGGGGCGGGGCTGTCAGGCGGTGCCGGCGCGCCCCGGAAGGGGAGGGGCGGTGGGGCCGGGGTCAGGTTAGCAGTTCCGGGTGTGATTGGCTGCGAGGCGGCCCGACTGGCGCTCTCTCTCTCTCTCTCTCTCGGCCCCGGGAAACATGTGAGCGGTTGGAGCGGCCCAGCGGCGGCGGCAGTAAGTGAGTGTGTGCGGCGGTTGCGCTCCGACTCCCGGCCTCGCTGGCAACTCCAGCCCCAGGCTCCGGGCCTAGTACACCCCACATCCCCCCCTCCCCCGCCCCCAGCCTCGGCCTCTCCGAGCGCCAAGTTTCCGACTCCAGTCAGGGCAGCCCCGGGCCTGAGAGCAGCCAAATCCCCCCCCGCCCCCCGCAAACCAACACAACTTTATCCAACTCCAGCCTTATCTCTCTTTCCCCCCACATACTCCCGCCCCTCCCCCCACACTCCCCCACACACACCCCCACACCACCCCCACACTCCCCCCCCCCCACACACCCCACCACACACTCCCACCACACACCCCACCCCCACCACACACTCCCACCACACACCCACCACACCCACACACTCCCCCCACACACCCCATCACACACTCCCCCCACACCCCCCCACACACTTCCCCCACACACCCACACACACACACTCCCCCCTACACACACACTCCTTCCCATACATATACACACACACACCCCAACACACACACTCTCCCCCCCCACACACACTCACCCCACACATATATACCCCCCCCACACACAAACCCCCCACACACACACATACTCCAGCCCCTCCCCCCCACACCCCACACATACTCCCCCCCACACACACCCCTCAACACACATCCCCCCCCACCTCCACCCACACTCTCCCCCACACACCCTCCCCACAACACACCCCCACTCCACACACACTCCCGCCCCCCCCCACACTTCCCCCTACACACACACTCCTCCCCACACATATGCACACACCCCCCCACCACACACACTCCCCCCCCACCCCCCCACATATATACACACACCCCCCCACACACACTCTCTCTCCCCCCCATACACAAACACCCCCACACCCCCCCTCCACACACACTCCCGCCCCTCCCCACACATATACACACACACCCCCCCAACACACACACATTCTCCCCCCACACATACACACACACACCCCCACACTCTCCCCCCCACGCACACACATTCTCCCCCCAAAAAATATACACACCCCCTCCTCCACACACACTCCCCCCCACACCCCCCCCCCACACACACTCTCTCCCCCCTACACACACTCTCCCCCCTACACACTCTCCCCCCACACACACTCTCTCCCCCCAACACACACTCTCTCCCCCCCCACACACTCTCTCCCCCCACACACACACTATCTCCCCCCAACACACACTCTCCCCCCCCCACACACATTCTTCCCCCCCCACACACACCTCCACATCATACATTCCCACACCCCCACCCACGCGCGCCCAAGCGCCCACCCAACAACGCGAGTGCTCTCCCCCCCATCACGCCACGCCCTCCCCCCCACCACATCCTGCCTGTCCCACTCTCCCCCCACGTCCTCCCCCCACAAATCCCTGCGCCTGTCCCCCACGACCCACTGCCCTCAATGCCCACGGCCTCACCCCCCCCCCCTCCCCATGGCCTCAGCTTGGCCATTTAGGAGTGAAATCAGCCGGCAGTTTTTCACCAAAGGTTAGCGGAAATCTGGAACCCTCTCCCCCAAAAGACTGTGGATGTGCTGCATCCGTTCACATCTTCAAGACTGAGGTGAATAGATGTTTGTTAGGTCAGGCTATCAGCCATGATCTTTTCGAATGGTGGAACAGGCATGACAGGCTGAATAGCCTCCTCCTGTTCCTATATAGGTTGATGGCTATCCCAACAGTTAAGTCACTTTTCTGTGACATTTCTCTGCACCCTGGTTAAAACCCATTTGTTTTTTAAAACCATAAAATATTCAGCACAGAAGGAGGTCATTTGTCTGTGGCCTCTTCTCTTTGATTTGCTAAGTTTTACCTTTTTTTTAAAATTAATCCCGCTCTCTCCTCATCCCTCAGTGTTTTTCCTGACCAGCTGCTTATCCTGACAGTTGTTTATAAAGTTCTCTTTTGAATAATTCTGTTGGTCCAGCCTTGATCACTTTGTGGGAGTAAATTCCAAAGCTTGACAAACCCTCTTGAGTGAAGAAGTTCCCTTCCCTAACCTCTCCCTTGATTCTATTGCTAACCAACCTGTCTTGCCAGCCCTGCCCTGTTGTCAACTATTCCTGAACTGAAAGGAAGTAGCTTTCCCTGTTTACTTTCTCGCAACATTCAGATTGTCAAAACTTCAGAAAGCTCTAACACCGGGAAAATCTTTCAGTTTCTTAAACAATCCGTGGCCCGATGAGTGAATGTGCTTAAAACTCTGAACGTAGCGTCTTAACCAGTGAGTGCAACGTTGCGATGGGAAAACTCCTGGTACCTAGTTAACAAGTGTTCGTGTGGGGCTTTTTTTGGGGTTCCAGATGTACGCGATGGTTTAGATTGCTGTGCCTGTGTGAGCATGGAATGAACACTGGGAGTTGTAGTCTGTTTATTCCACCATTTTGATTGCTTTCTGATGGTAGAAGTTGCCCGGGCTGTAAAGATACCTTTACTGTACAGATGTATAAAGAGAAAACTGCATGATTGTGTTTAAGGAGTTTACTTGGGCAGTTACGTTCAGTGTAACTTTCAGCGGTTTGCGACCTCATAAAACTTCACCAACCTGACCGCTCTGAAGGCACTGACGGACTCCACTATTGCCGGTCAGGCCTTCAGCCCAATCCGCAGCTTGGTTGCATACCCCTCATTGTACAGCGCCTTGGGACATCCTCTTGATGTGAAAGACTCAATATAAATGCGATTTATTGTTGGCATTAATGATAGTCCGTGCATTTGATACAGCGCCTTTTCACGTTGTTGAGACGTCTCAAAGTGCTTCACAGGTTATACTGTAAAGTGTAGTCACTGTATTTTGATCATAATGGGGGAGTCAGTCCAAAGTGGGTTTGTGCCTATGATTCCCTGTAGGGTTAGTGTTGACTGTGATGTTGATCGGGAGGGGTTTTGCAGGTTGTTGCCTCTTTGGGAACGAAAAGAAAACATTTACTGTGAGTTGCAGTGCATTGACTGCTCTCAAGCTCCTCCTCGCTTCCAGTTAATAAGCGGAATTGCCGACGAGTGCGAGGCAGGTTGTTTGTTGAGACGGCAGACGTTACATTGGGGTGCAGTGACTCGGAAAACAGGAAGAAAGCTTATGGTGCAGGAAGCAGGTTGTGGCATTCAGAGATCACAAGCTTCTGTGAACTCCACGAGATATATCCACATGTAACCAGTGCTGAAAGCATGAGCTGGTGCTCCAGTCTACGTAGCTGCACTGATGCCACCATGTGCAGAGTTCACCTTCTTGGCTGCAATTTTGTGGGAAATAGTACCAACAACAAATTACATTTGTATAGCTTCTATCACGTCAGGAGGACGTCCCAAGGCCCTGGACAGTCAGGGATCCGCACCTGAGCTGGTGGTTGGGATCAGAAGGGGAGGGTAGGGGTAGGAGTCTGACCGAAGACACAGTCGAAATGGAGGGTCTTGAAGGAGGCAAGGGAGGGGGCCGAGGGCGAGGCGGAGGGACTGTGGGATGGAGTTCCAGAGGGTGGGGGGGGAGAGGCTAAAGGCCACCCGCCAATGATGGGGCGGACAAAGCGGGGTGGCGTGGAGCAGGCCAGAGCTCGCTGAGGGAGGGAGCAGACAGGTTGGTAGGGGGTTACGAGCTCACAGTGGTAGGAAGGAGCAAGGCCGTGGAGGGCTTTGAATTTCACCCTCTTGGCTGCAGTTTTGTGGAGAAGAGAAAGCCAGCTATCAGCTTGGTCTTGTTGGTAGCACTCTTGCCTCCGAGGCAGAAGGTTGCCACATCATGACCTGAGCTCAAAAGTCCGTGCAACCTGCCTCCTGGGGTGGGGAGCATTATCGGAGGTGCCGTCCTTCGGTTAAGATATTAAACCAAGGTCCCGTCTGTGCCCGTTCAGGGTGGACGTTAAAGATCGTGCAGCACCATCCAAAAAACAAGGGAGTTTCTGTCTCTCTCTCTCTCCCCCGGTGTCCTGGGACAATCGCGACAATCCCCCAGATACAAATGGTCACTCATTTCATGGTTGTTTGTGGGATATTGCTGTTTGCAAATTGGCTCCTGTGTTTGCCATAAATTACGTACTCTCTACTCCCACAAAGTGATCAAGGCTGGATCAATAGAATTGATAATTCTGTGACATACTTTGAGATTCTTTACGGCACTGATGGTAACAATACTAATCCCTGCATTTGATAACATCACCTAACGTCAAAACATGTTGAGGCGAGCAAATTTAAACCCTGTAAGGTCCCAGACATAGCAAAGGGAATGACTAATGACCTCTGAAAGATTGCAGGCCAGGACTCTGGAGAGAAAGTCTTCTCTTCTCAAGTTGTGTCATGTATTATGTGTCGTGTATTTAACTTTCACCCGAACAGGCTGACGGGATGTTGATTTAACACCTCGACCCAAAGGGTTTCCTGGAGCGAAGGGATAGAAAGTCCTGTGGCTGTAACTGTGAACTCATCTTGCAATGAGATCAGCAGAAGAATTAGAGTGTGTGGTAGAGCATGACTTAGGCTGTGTTTATTTCCAGACCCAAAGAGTGAAAGCAGATTCAGTGTTTCAGTTCAAACTCACATATCCAGACTTAACAAAGTATTGCAATTTCATTTTGCATATACAACTATACAGTCAATTCACTTTACAGTTTATTCTGTGAAGCACTTTGAGACGTCTCAAAGACGTGATAAAGCTCTATATTGAATGCAAGGATTATTATTTGTATTATATTCATATTCAAATTACAATAAATAATAATCCTTGCATTTGATATAGCACCTTATCACGTCATTGAGACGTTTCAAGGTACTTCAGGATTTTACCGTGCAAAGTAGTGACTGTATTTTGTAGGCAAACAATATTTGGGCACTGTGTTTGTTTGGGTGTGGGGATGATATTTTCTAAATGCTTAGGATCAGAATTTTACAGCACAGGAGAAGAACCATACAAATATAATAATGATAATAATAATCATCCTTAGATTTAATATAGTACCTTTCACATTGAGTGGGTAT